CAGGACACTGGTTTGCGCATAATTTCACGTGCATTACGCATAAGTTAAGGGCTGTGTATACTCTTGCATTAGCGTGTTGCAGTTAGCTTGCTGCAGGTATGACACAGATATTTAGATTTTATGCTCAATTTTGAAGTGTAGTCACGCTATGTTATTCCACGCAACAACGCAAGAGGGACAATCAAGAAATAGCTAGAATTGTTGGTGTCCGTGTGCCAGTTTGACGAGCTTGTACGCCGTCTACAACCCAACATCCAACGTCGGACGACACACGGTTCACCCGTGAGTGTTCCCCAAAGACGACCTATAAACCAGGCTTTAGGCTGTCGTTGGACAAGTTCTGGTCTTGTTATGAATACTCTATATATACGCCCAAAATTTAAAAAATACATAGAAAGTTCAGCATTTAGGGAGAAAATAGCAAATTATTAATTTGCTTCATCAGTTACCTTTAGATTTACTAATTAATTGATGATTTTTGGGACCTAGAGACATTTCGCTTCTATTCTTTCTCTTAATTCTGCATATTTTATGTTGAATTTCTGGTTTAAATATCTAGATATGACTGAGAATAAGCAAATTTGATTATGCATATATTACAGCTAGAATCTGGAGCAATTAAAGATGCATTGTTTGGAATCTGGCATTTTTTCAGGGCTGTAAAGACGTTTAGTTTCTGCTTAAGAGACATTAAACCAATCTGTTCTCCAGAAAGTTTGACGTATCTGCATGGCTGCATTACATTGATCAAATGCTCACTGGATCATCCTAACCTGTAACGTTTCTCTGTTTCCAGCATGCGCTCAGAAAGACGAAGCAGGAATCTTCTTCCTCATTGACGACTCAGACAGCATTACTGAAAGAGACTTCGCTGACACAAAGAACTTCATCGCTGGCTTCATTAAAACATTTCGTATCAAACTCAATAATATTCGCATTGGGCTGGTCAAATACTCTAACTCACAGACACTAGAATTCTACCTGAGCAAAAAATCCTCTGATTCGGATGTGAACAAGCTTCTGGAGAAGGTTACCCACCAAGGGGGAGGGAGGAGGACGGGTGGAGCCCTGGATTCCATAGACTCTCGTTTCCAGCTGATAACGCCCGGCGTTCCAACCTACCTGATCCTCGTCACCGCAGGACAGTCTGAGGATGATGTCAGAGAACCAGCAAGGAAACTCGGGGAGCAAGGCGTCACCGTCTTTGCTGTTGGTTTAAAGGATTCAACCCAAGATGAGCTGCAGGAGATTTCCGGTGACTCAGAGCGGTCATTTTACATCAGGGATTATTATTTGCTAAAGCAGATCAAAGACAATATTCTAAGACCAATCTGTGGTTCAGCAGGTGAGGAAATCAGCAGATAAACTACATTTGTTTTGGTTTTTAATCTAAATGGTACTAATTAACCTGACTCCGCCAGATGGATTTGCTCCGCATATCCATCTGGAAACCTTCCGTTGAAGTAATTTTGGGAAGG